GGCCCGCGGGCGAGGCCGCGGGGGCGTGGGCGGAGCGGGCGGCCGCCATGGCGCCTGCGACTCGCAGCTGCTCACGGGCGGCGCTACAGCGCGCTGGGCATCGCCCCCTGCAACACACACACACACAATGCATATTAGTAGAGGCCGGTACATATGTAGTACGAACGGTAAAATTATGTACATAAATGTGTAATGAAAACATGTGAGACATATAATTGAGTGTGTGCGACATGTGAGTGAAAACATATGAGTGAGAAAATGCAATAAAAAATGTAAAATCGGATATACTATGTAATATTAAAATACACTAATTATCAAACACATTTACATAATACAAAATTACGTTGATAAGAAATGTCCTAAACAATTTTTTAAAATAATTCAAACGCGATCAATTTAATTTTGAAAGCACATGTTGATGCCCACTTTGTACCATACAACTTTTCCATCTGCAGTAAAAACTTGTATTGTTATTCAGATTGTAGTTGAGCAGCCCCCTGATCAAGGTGCATATCTGCTTGGTTATTTGTATCTAGAGCAATCAAAAAGCCATCGTGCGAACTGGCGACATCAACGACCAGCAAACAATCCCTGCAGGGGGTAATATTCTCACTGAACGTCGGTGACCGCCAAATTTTGCAGAGATTGTCACAAACATCACAAAATTGCGCCAATGATACTTTTGCCACCTACATTTCTACTAGATGTTAAAAAAACTTATTGTCACAAAAAATATGTAATAAGATTGAAGAAAATGGACAAAATAAAAATATTTTGTGAAAATAACAAAATATGTAATTTCTAAATATGAAAAAATATGTAATGAAATGTGAAAAGAGAAATATGAAAAGAAAACTGTATTCTGGGATGAAACTTGATGACAGATTCAGAATTTGAAAACAGAAGAGAAGAGGGTATCTATTAAACCAAATGATATGAATCGTAGCTTTAACGGGTAATTGATCATTAATCACGTTAGGAATAACATCTGGAATACATAACTTCAATAAGAAATTTAAATATTCTGATCGGGAACAGATCGTTTGATTACAGGGTATTTGATTCTGAAGGTATTTCACGGTGAATTGTTGAAAGTAAATACACGTTTATGCCAATGAAACAAACATCAAATCTCATTAATCCACTTTACATACGTCCGGTAAACAAAAAGCTGTTTTAATTACGAAAGAATTTCTTGAAGATCAATTTTTCATGACGTAAAAATGTTCTCAAACTGAAACATACATATTCGTTTGACTATCTTATTATACGAAATAATAGTCTGCAATTAAAACTACAATGTTAAAATATATCTGACAGGAATTTACTGAGGAAATTGAATACAGCTATATTGATAAGTTAATAACTCTTGTTCGTCTGAACCCGACAAAGAACAACCTGATTTTCATTTGACACGTAATATAGCACTTGATATAATTTGCGCGACACCCCGAATGACGTAGCAAATGCGGGACTGAGAAAAATGCAGCTTCCGCACGTCCTGCTCTCGGTTGCTGAAGATAAGCGTTCTTTGGAATCCGAGCACGTGCGCCTTCGTTACATGATTTACGTCGGTGCACTTACAACAGGTCTGTTCGTGAATCAAACGCCCACTGGTAGCTGATTTCGTCTAGCGCTTCGCTACACTGCGAGCAACATTTTTTCTATGATGCTTTCGCTCATTCGTGCTTAGAGTGACAGTACAAATTGGGCGCAAAGAAACAAAAAAATATTCTTAAAAAATAAACGAAAATCATACAAGATATTTGCTGAGAATTTTCTCAAACCGGTTTCTTCACACCAATTGGCTACTGCCGACTGTATAGAAATAGTGACGATGTACATTCAAAAACGGTTTTCCAAAATGTTGATGTCAAAATCGTAGCCCTGTACAGCAATAACAATGGCAATTACACTTCACACAATGCAATTCCGTGTCGTACCTGTCCCGGCGACCGCGTTGAGCAGGCATCGTCCACGGAGCCTTCGCACGCGCCTGCTGCCCCTCCGACAGCGCCCCAACCACTGCCGAGCCCCTCCGCCCCACGCCCCCGAGCGGCATCTCACGACCGCCGCGCGAACCATACCTCCTTCGGACCGGGGCAGGTGGGTCGTTCTCCGCAAGCCAATGAATGGGCGAAACTATTTCCGACATTTTTCTTTCGCATTTGACTGGTTGTTAGTAATTCCGTGCGCGTAAACTGTTATGATCGTTAATCCCGTAAGTGTAGAGCTTGATTCCCGCTCGAGAGGTGGCGATGATTTTTTTTTTTTTTTTTTGGCCGGTGGATGGCGAGATACGTCGCCTACATACCGTCGGTTAGCGAGGTTTTCTCCAACCAGGTACCTCCCCCAGTCGGGAATAGCTCTAAGTTCCCTACCGGTCTCCGGGTATGTGTGGTTGTTTAGTGCACGTAAGTGTGTGTGTAAATAAGAGGTGAGGATAGCACAAGGAAGAGAATGGAAAGATCGCGCGCAGCCCATGGCCCTTTTTAGGGTAGTGCTCCAGCATTCGCCTGGTGTTGATCGGAGAAACCACGGGAAACTACCGATCAGAGCAGCCGGCCGCTAGAATTCTCCTCCGGACAGCGACTGTATTCGACCTAGCTGACAAACTAGTGTAGAATATCCCGGTCAGAGGTAGTATAATGACATCCATCAGTTGATGCCCTGAGGTATCTCTCCCGGTCTTTCATTTTTAAAGAATCGCAGAGTTTTTCACAAATTTAACCAAATTATTCCGTGTTCTTTTTGGAAGTCGGAGACTTTTCCCAATGCCCCTAAACAAGCAAACGTACGCACACTGAAATATTATTGTATTCGCGGCTGCTTCATTTTTCACTTTAAATTAAAGCATATATTGTATGGAATATAATAAAGTTGCAGCATTTAAGAGAAATAAATACCTATAATTCCTGGCAATTACCACCAATTATCGATCACATGCTGATCCACTTGTGGAATACAACAACAAAATAATAATAATAATAATAATAATAATAATAATAATAACAATAATAACAATAATAATAGTAATAATAATAATAATAATAATAATAATAATAATATTCAAACTTGAATTACACATTAAGAAGTTGAGAAAAATCTTCTCAGAAAGTGAGGTTATACTACAAAAACTAATTAAACAATTTTATTTGTATTTTGTCGACATTTGGTTTACTTCAGACATCTGTAAGGACTAAAACATACAAGAACGGACATTTAAATTATATTTGTGCATCCTTGTTCGGGACAAGGGATTTTGTTCTTTCTCCTGAAGAGGGCTGAATTCGTAACAGGTTTACGTGCACATCCCTCAGATTAGGGACAACCACGAACACCCAACAAAGACAACAAGCAGCCACCGCATTTCGCCTGCGTCAGATCAAAGCACCGACTGTGACAATGGACTGCCACCTACTGTGGACGAGTGTGGACTCATTTTAGGTCTTTTAGACGCGGTAGGGTAATGTTATAGCTTTACCACTTTTGCACACCTCGTGTTGAATTGTACATTAAACAGAAACCAGATTTACCCAACTGGGTTTACTGCGACTCGTTGTTAAAGAAACCATTTTTATCTTGATAGGTTTCCCAAATCTAACGATGTTAAGATCTACTTGCCGATTACGATCAGACGTTTCACGACGGAGTTCTTTCGTTAAAATCAATTTAAGAAAATCACTCACGGAATACAGGATTAAGATACAATTTACCCGTCCAGTTTCGAGCACTTCATGTCTTAGTGTGGCAGGCGACCAGATTTACCCGTCTGGACTTTTAACCCTGGAGATTTACCCGTCTGGATTATCTATTTCAACAATTTAAAAATAATTTAGGATTCTTTATTGACGAAAACTTGATTTTTCATCCTTGATCACTTAAGTCTGAAGAATATTCAATTTATGGATATCTGAAAATTATTATATATTTTTTATATTGCTACTTTTTTAATTTAACAAATGTCAAGCACATAAAAACATCGAACACACAATAATGTTAAAAGAACATCGGCTTTAAAACAGATCCCATGAAATATATACATTCGGACCTCCATATATCGAACCTCTGTATATCGAAATTCTCTATAAATCGAATTATTATCCTGTTCTTTGAAAATGTTTAAAAAATTTCTAA